AGGTGTACCAAGTCAGGAATCTGTACGCGCCGAGGCGGTCGTGAGTGCCGAGTCAATCTTTCGCATGGCATGCCCGAGGCCTTCCTCGATCGCGATCGACTATGCACCGGCCTTCGGGCATGCGATCTTGCCGTTTAGCCGCGCGTTCACGAGGCCGCGCGCATTGTCCTTATGACTCCTACACTACTCACGACTCAGACTGCACTTTCAGCGCGGCACGGATTCACGCGTCGCAGCGAGTTGCTGCAAGGATATGCAAGGTGGTGCTGCTGTTCGAGGCTGAGGCATGCACGTCAAAGGCAGCAACGACTGTACAGGCCACGCAGGCAGACATCACAGGCGAACATCACGCTTTCTGCTTCACCTGACGAGCTTCAATAAGCTCAATCCCAGCGCACCGTATTCGCCGTCAAGCTTTGAGCTTCCCCGCGTTTCAACAGGCGAGGTTCGGCAGGTGTACTGTTATTGCTTTGCACCTCGTCATGACCTGGTGGGATCACCAAGCCAAGCTACCAGCAGCTCTCCATCGTCCGCCCAGCGTCCTACTCTAGCTCTGCGAAGACTGTCACTGATCAGCCACAGAGCACAACAAGCATCGCGGCATCGCTTCTGAGCAAGCTTCCAGATCCCAAGCAGAGCTACCCTGTTGCAAGGGTGAGCGCGACGCTTCACTCAGAACAGCCTAGCCACCACAGACTGTCAGGCTCACCACACTGAAAGCGCCAAAGGCATCTCGTAATGCTGGTCGCTACACGGAAAGTCTTTTCAGCTGTTCGCACTCATTCTCGATCGGCGCACATCCCTGCCAAGAACGTGCATCTCACCTTTCCAACTGCTTTTCCGCCAATCGTCCCTGCTCGGCGATCCCTTAGCACCAGCTTTCCAGCCATGTTCGCCCTGACACCCTTCCGTGGCGCTCCCGGCAGTGCGCCCCCAAAGACTTTTTCCAGGCAAGGAGAACTGCCACGTCTGCCAGTTCCAACCTTGGAAGAGACTTTCCCTAGGTACCTCAAGTCTCTTGAACCGGTCTTGAGGCAAAAGGAAGAGCTCGGCCAGCTCGCTTCCGGCGCCACTGCTGCGAGCGAGCTGCAAAAGCGCGCCGAATGGGCTCAAGAGGCCATGAAGGAGGGCAGTCTAGCTAGAAAGCTGCAGCAGCGTCTCATTGGTGAGTGACGGAGCTTGATAAGCTGGGCGCGCTTGGTGCGAGCGCAGCCCCCAAATGTCAATCTGACTTTAATGACCTTCCTGTTGCGCTCGACGCAGATGTGGACCGCACAACGCCAGACAATTGGCTGGACGATCGATACTGGCTGCAAAAAGCTTACCACGAATGGCGCGTCCCGCTACTGGTCAACTCGAACTGGTGGCTCATGTTCCGCGCAGATCCGAACACACCAGCTGCAGATTTGGAGCTGGGCAAAGTGCAGCCGGAGAGGTATGGAGCGCTGACTCCTTCTGAGGATTTCAGCGTTGCGCTCGGAGCGAAAGAGTGGAAGGGGCAGCAGTGGGGCATCAGAAGAGCGACCTGGATCACTGGCAGACTGCTGGAGTTCAAGAGGAGGCTCGATCAGTGAGTTTTTTCACCCTTCCCTTGCATTCGAGACTAAGCGCGTACGGCGAGCATTGCCGCCTTTGGAAGCTTTCGCTGAGCTTGGTGCTTCATTGCCTGTCTCATTGCAGTCAAGAGATTATGCCAGACGCATCTAGATCGAGTGCTTTCTGCATGCACCAGTATACGCGGTGAGCAGAGCCTGTTGCATTCCACCTGAGCTTTTGCACGCCTGCTTATGTGAAGATCATCCCCTCAGCTTGTTCGGTGTCTCCCGCATTCCTGCCATTCCCCACGATTGGAATACAGCGACGCCGCATCCCACAGTGGCTCGCCACGTTTGCGTCATGGCACGAAACAACTTCTATCAAGTGGAAGTGCTTGGCCAGGATGGTGTTACTCGGCCCTTGGAAGAGATAGAGAAGGCGTTCTCGGACATTGTGGAGGACGCCAAGAAGGCGGACGGAGACGCAGTTGGCATCCTCACCGCCGACGATCGGGACACTTGGGCAAGGGTGAGTAGACTTGTATTGACCTTGCTTCAAGCGCAAGCTCATCGAATTTTGTCATTCGTCTAGGCCCGTGAACATCTCCTTGCCATTTCAAAGGTCAACCGAGCCACCCTTGGTGCCTTGGAAGACTGCTTGTTTGTGGTTTCTTTAGACTCGTCAGTGCTGCCAAACGTGTCAGGACACCCTGAGCCTGTGACGACTGCGACTCCAGCATCCGTAGATGCGCACGCGCGCAACATTGCCGGCGCTGGCCGAGGGGGCCACAACAGATGGTTCGACAAGGCACTCAGCGTTGTGATGGAGCCTAACGGTCGAGGTGGTATCAATGGCGAGCACTCGCCCTGCGACGCCCTGATTCCCAGCATTGTCATCGACTTCGCCCTCGCTGAGCCAGCTCCCCAGCCTGATCAACCTTTCCCGAACTCCATTGCACCTGCTGGACCTGCTGGCGCGACTGCGTCATGGAAGAAGCTGCAGTGGGAGCTGGACGATAAGGCGCACGCTTCCATTGCGAGCTCTGCCGCTGCGGCCAGACAATTGGTCAGCACGAGCGACATTGGCATGTTGTGGTACGACGAATACGGAGCGGAATGGATCAAGAAGGTGGCCAAGCAGAGTCCAGACGCCTTCCTCCAAATGGCACTGCAACTTGCTTACGCCAACGTGAAAGGGTATCAGAGTCCTACGTACGAGACCGCCAGCACACGCGTCTTCAAACACGGCAGGACAGACGTGATCAGAAGCTTCAGCAACGAGGCGTACGAATTCGTCCGCGCGGTGCGGGAAAAGAAGCCGGTGAGTCGAAGGTGATGCGTGTCCAATCACATCAAGGTGCATCTGGCGCTGAGTGCAGGCATGCTCCTCGTTCGCCACTAGGCGTCGGAGATCTACAGACTTCTCTCGGCTGCCTGCCAGTCCCACAACGCACAAACCAGGGCCGCATCGACTGGCAAAGGTTTTGATAGACATTTGACTGGTCTGCGACTAGCGTACAATCCAGAGGAGGATGGAACTCCTGAAGAGGCTTGCGAAGCCGGGGCGCGCATCCTGCTTGGCGATGAATTGCTCGGCGAAAGTCAGACCTGGAAGTTGTCCACATCCGGTCTCAGCAGCGGCTTGAGATTCTGCGGAACCGGCTTTGGGTCCGGCTTCGAAGATGGCGTGGGCACCAACTACCTCGCTGGTGGCCAATTATTAAAGTTTGGACTGGAGACCAAGCACTCTCCAATGAACGCTAAAGACCCGACAGCCACTTTTGCCAAGGCTCTTGTCGATGCGCTCAGGTCGATGAAAGAAATTTGCGAAAAGGAGGCGCCCGCCGCGACGGAAGGTGAGACCAAAGGCAAGCTTTGAACGTCCTTCATCCCACCGTACGAACCGACCCGCTTGAGAGCGCCGTGTTTATGCCCAAAAACATTTAATATGATGCCTCTGTGATGCGTTGCAGATGATGCGTTCAGTGTGCCGCTTGACGTGAGCGCCGCTCTCCACGATTCTCGAAGCCATTTCGAGAGCGCCCATTTGAAGATAGACACGCGGTGAGCAGCTGGCCGTCTCCGTGAAGGCGCATCGTGACGTTGACTTTCAGGAGGTTCAATAGCTCCTTTCTGATTGGAAGGGCTGCGACCTCGGCAGTATTTCATCGACTCTCCCTAGCGCAGGTCAAGAGTCGAAAGGTTTGTGTCGGGGTTATGCACGCGTCGGACTGGGGCGAGGGAATGCTTGCGAAATGTTGCATCACGCAGCGATGCTCTTTGCTGCTACCGCACCAACGACGAGCGACTCTACTTTGTTGCTCTCCTCCACGCTCAATTCGCTTTTCTGGTCCGTAGTCTGAAGCTTGTAAGCTTTGCAAATCCGTTGCCGACCAGTGATTGACGGTGCATTCAGGTCTTGATTGGGCAAAAGGCCGAGAGAGCGAAGAGGAAGCAGTTGTGCACCAGGTACGAGCGCTTGCATTTGCTGAAGGACCTCCTTGACCCGCAAGGAAGGAGTACTCAAGCGGATGAGCACGAGATGCGTGGTGGTTGGGGTAAGGCCAAACGTTCGAAGAGCGTCGCCTATCTGTGATCCGGGAAGGTCGAGGACAGCAGAGAATGGTTCAATGTGACGGAATAAGAGACGACCAGCGTTTGTTCTGCGACTCACGTTATTATTGATGCCAAGTCTATATATGACCTCTGCATGATTGCTCTTGGCTTTCTGCAGCCCATTTCCCAGGGCGGTCTGGGCTTGCCAAACAGCGGTGTGAAGGTGGGCCTCGGATACGATGCTAGCCGCATCAATGAGTGCGAAGTCGACGCGCGCCTTTGCAGCTCGACCAGTCTCGTCATCTGGAGCACGAGCGGCGGCAAGAAGGGAAGCGTGCAAATCGGCTGCCAAGCTTGGATTAGATGTGAGAGAAAAGAGAGCAAGATGGGAAGTGGAAATCGCTTCGGGCAGCCAAGGCTTGTGCTGAGTCTCCATGGCGCCGTGCTATGGAGTCGTGGGATGCTAGGCTGCTGATTGCGTGCCACACAGATCGCCGATGGCGCAAATTGCAAGTTGTGCAGGATTGGTGAAATGAGTGTCGGTGACAGAGCAGATGGAATCAAACATCTTTATTTCGGAATGGGTTACGGGGTCAAAGATGTGGAGTCAGCAAGAGCGTATGCTTGCGCCTCATCGAAAAGTTGCGGTGAGGTTGAGGTGTGCACGTGTTGTGATGGAAGAATCGCCTTCGAGAACGTTTTACCGGGAACGGTGGCTGCCCTGCTCGCACGTGACGTACGCTGCATCGCACAGTCATGAGTTCTTGGGCTCCCCCCGTCCAGCGCAGATCTGCATGTCTGTCCTTGTGTGTTACTGTATCACGCATCCTGGGCGGCTGCACCTGGGCTGCATGAACTCGTTGCTGCGCCCGCGCGCCCCGCCCAAAGATTGAGTCGCGTTGTGGCAAAGCGTTCGATTCATTTCGTGCCTCACGCTTTGAGCACGCGACGATGATCAACTCGTGCGGAGCGCCCTCGCCATGTTTGACCCTCTTCTGTCGTCTACCTGGCCGCGGCTTGATTGGTGCCGTTCTGCGTGCTCCTTGTCAGCGTTGGTGCATATCGCAGTGCCAAATTGAGTCTTGACTATTCACAGCAGATCCAAGATTGGCACGCATGCATGATCAGACTCTTGACTTGGTCAATCCGCTCAACGGTCAGCCCACATACCATCATCCATGCCTTTAGCGGAGCCCCAGTCACGGGTGTTGGTCTCCTAGCTGTGGTGTGTGACAGCAGCACTCACCAACAATTGCACTTTTGACTGAGACTACTGGCTGGTGGATGGGCTTCCCTCACCTTCTGCTGCTGCAGATGCACGTTCACCGCCACTACAGGAGTAGTCATGTACTGCAGGCATGCAGGAGAGCGTGCGCGCGCATGGATGCACCCCGCCGTTCGTTCTATTTTCTGGTACGAGGCACAGTATGTAGTACAGTCAAATGAGGACTCATCAGCGTGCTTGCTCATGCTTCAACATGGATGCTGGTGGGGCGCTGAACAAAGGCAGAGAAATCGCGAATCATGCGCCTCGGATATCTTACCCATCTCATCAAGCAAGCGAGGCCTACAATTTTGAATGCTTGATGGCAAAGGAGATCAGTACTTGAGTATAGACTTCAACTTCGAGATTCACGCACTGCTACAACATACTCACTCACACTGCACTGATCCACACTCAACGTGTATTCACACATGTATCTTGCTGATCAGCCCATGCAATCACGAAGGAGAAGCGTGAGGATTTTGAGAAGATGATGCATCTGTTTCATCTCGAACATGCGCGATACTCCTCTCTAGCGGTCCAAATGCTGCGACCGCTGAACATCAACAACACCGTATGTGCGCCTTGGGCACGATTAACATCTCAATTCCAACGTCGCGTTGGGAAGAGCCGGTATACATGCATGCATCACACTCCCTGTGATCAAGACTGCTGATGTGCTGAGCTGATGACCCGCCATCTTCTCGAGTCGACGCGACGATTGCTGCATGCCGCGGCCTGCATGCCATTCAGCCGAAGGCTCTGGTGCCGTCGGCCCTGCGGCAGCGGCCACGCAACCCCGCCCGCCCAGCATGCGCAAGGCCAGCGGAAGAGGGCAAGCGGCACCGCCGCGGAGCCTCAACTCAAGACTGTTGGTGATGTCTGCGCTAGCTAGCTGACCCAGCATCAGCAATCGATTCAAGTCATTCGTACCGTGCAGCCCAGTGCGACCATTTAGCGTTCCTCACGACTTGCCTGCACGAAAGGCCTTTCTTATTCTAGCCTCTCCGTGGCGGTTCGAACTCAATGAGCTGTGCGGACACATGAGCGCGCAGATTCGAGTCTCGGCGAATGTCTGTCAAGTGCCAGCCGTGTGTCGCGTCCACAAGTCGCCGCTCCATACACCGCACACAGCCGTCAATCGAGTTGCTGATGCATGCATGATCATGCAGCTTCTGCGCCAGAGGAGCGTCAGAAGCGTAGGCGGACTTCGACTGCATGCCGAACTCTTTGCCGCGCTGCTATGCTATGCCATGCTATGCTATGCTTTGCTTTGCTTTGCTTCGCTGCCATGCCGTTTCGGCTGCTGCTTCGATGAAAACGAGGCCCGCTGATTGGCACCGTTCTTCTGCACCGATTCGGGACTGGTAGATATGCACGGCTAGCAGACGCACGGAAAGCTGACGAGCAGCAGCACCGTTATAGAGCTGCAATCCGACCACAGAAGCGCTGTCTGCCAGCCACGGGCACATCAGTGTCATCTGCTGCTGGCGCTGCGGAGCGTTGAGCTGCACGTATGCCTGCCAGCCAGCCAGCCAGCCAGCCAGCCAGCCAGCCGTTGTTTGGTTCCACTTTGCCCGTCAGGCGGACGGTCTACATGTAGGTGGCTGACGGCTGACTTGCTTCGTTGGACCAGCCAAGCCGCTGATGCACGAGTCCACACTGCTCGAGTGCCCATTTGCAATTCAACTCGTCGGCATCCCCTTTCCCTGCTCTTATCCTCTGCAGCGCCTCAAATTCCCGAGCTCGTCGTCCTGTCCGCGTTGCAACCCTTTCCTCATCGCCCTCTTCGCTCCTAAACTCAACGCGCTGTTTCATCTCTTGCCACTACCACCCCCACGACCATCACCTCTGCTACGCTCACACCTTCACTTGCTTCCAGCTTCCTTAATTGCCACGACATCCACATCCTACCGTTTCTGTTCATCAACGACCCCTCTCACCAAGCCTTTCTTCTCACAATATGTTCGCTGTCAAGTCTCTCTGCGCCGTTGCGGTGCTCGCTTCTAGCGTGGCTGCCCAAGCCAAGTTCCAGTACGGAACACCCAACCCCAACATGTCTGGTGTTGTCGGCCGCAACTCCAACGGCCCGACCAACCCCAAGACGCCCCAAGAGAACACGCCTGTGAACCAGACCTCTATGGCTCGTCTCGTGTCCGTCAACTCCGTCGATGACTGGTGCATTTACGGACCTCCTGAGAATGGACAGACCATTGCAAACGTCGAGGGTGAAGTTGTCGCTGTAAGTATCGCTTGGCGCACTAGCATCACGCCGACAACGGTGTTGCCTCCAGCGCGTTGCCACCCACTCAGCGTCGTGAACTAACCTCGACGATCGCGACCTGTTCCCTGCACTAGTACTGCACAAAGCCTCGTAACAACGCGCGTGTCATCCCAGATGGCACTGTTACCGCTGCTCATTTCGTCAAGACTCCTCTCTACGTCCAATTGATGGCTCTCGGTGACTTCACCAAGTAAGTTTGTTGTCTCTGTCTTCGATGTGCCGGTGGTGCAATCCGCTGATGGCAATTTGTTTTCGACTCCCAGGATCGGTTTCGCTCCCGGCGACCAAGGTGGAGAGCTTGACCCTCACGGTGCCACAAACATGGGTAACCCCGTTGGAGGAAACGTCACTTCCAACGTTTCCGGAAAGGACGTCTTCTACGAGGAGTGGATGAACTTCGTCTCTGCAGACCAAGCCTGCATCCGTATCTGCATTGCCGGTACCGACGTTGCACCCACTCCACTCGAGTGCCAACACACCCTCGATGAGATGGGCTGCAACTGGGTCATGCCAGGAAACTACGCGGACAACTCCTTCGACACGTGCGACGGTGACGCTGCGTACCCCCCTGGTCTCTTCCCTCAACCAGACGGCTCTACGTCTACCTTCCAGCAGTACTTCTCTTCCGTCTACACTGCTCCCGGCGGTGACGTGCAGACCTTCATCAACGCTTCTCCAGACCAACAGACCCCTAGCGCTGCCTACTCTCTCCCTTCGACCAGCCAGTGCACTACGACTAGCAGCATTGCCAATGGCATCAAGTCTCTTGTCAGCGGAAGCAGCTCCTCCGGCATCTCCACTACTCGCACTGGCGCAAATGGTGCCTCGAACACCGGCACCAACGGATCCGGCTCTGGCAATTCATCTGGCTCTAGCAGCTCTGGCGGCAACTCTGGCGCAGCCTCTCTTGTTCCCGGTGCTGGCGTTGCGGGCATCCTCACGCTGTCCGCTGCTCTCGTCGCTGGTGCGATGATGCTCTGAGTGGAGTCTTGTCCTTTACAAAATCTTCACGCTCAAAGGAATGTGCGCATGATCGGGAATCATACCGCGCATCCCAAATCGTCTCAGCACAGGGACGTCCTTCTGAGCGGTTCTGAGTTTCAACATGGGTCAAGCTTTTCATCATACCAGACATCATTAGAGATTTCGCCAGCATTCAATAATCATCTCCCACTCTCTTCAACTTTCCACACCTGCACATCATGGACTATGACGGAGGGGCTTGACGCAGTGTTCGACAGCTCAGCTTCGCCTGGATTGATCTTGCCACATCCAATCCCCCCTTGCTTGCTTCGACATCACTTGCAAACTTCTCAATTCTTCCTGCAAACACTTCGTTGCACCCTTGTACTCTGGCCGTCGAAATCGGGTCATTCGGCCTTGCCCACCTGAGATCACAGTTCACACTTGTCCATACAATCTTCATTCCGTGCCTTTGGCCGTCGTGAGTGTGACGAAGTGGTATGAGGCTTAAACGTAGTCGACGAGAATTTGAGTCGTGCTGTCAGACCCCACACAAGGAAAACCTATTGCAGGTGCGACAGCGGACATCATTCGTTGAGATTGCACCGTGCATCCTCATGATCGTGTTTCGAGACTCGAGACATGAGGTGCACCCAGTCCATCGAAGGAGCCTATGGCAAGGTCTCCAGAGCTGCCAATGGTGTGTGGTCTTTCTCGGCCTGATCGATCCGTGTTGGAGCGTGAGAGGCTTGCCGCATTCACGCTCTGCCTATGCAAGGCTCTCCTTGACCTCGCACTCGATCGTCTTCTCGCGACGCCTACGACGCCAGCTTCGTCCTCGGGATGATTGGCGTCCACGAGCTGACCGTTGGGCAAAGACAGGCTGAAAACGATGGCTGGAAGCAGAACCACGGCTGCCAGAATACACAGGGTCCGCATCACCGAGGTCCAAGCGAGGGTGATACCTGTACGCTCGTGAGTGCCGAGCGGGTACGAGAGCGCGACGCTCAGGCTGCCGTATATCCTTCGACGCTCTGCCTCTGGCATTTCAGGCTGAGTAGAGTAGACATACGGCTAAAGGTAAGAATTGCTTCACGGTGAAGGCAGGCTTGCACGCAACTCACCAGGGATCGAGCGAGTGCAGGAGGAAGGTCTCTGGAGAAGACGAGTCCAGCAAGTGCACTGCCCATTGCCGCCCCAACCTCGGCGAACAATAGCTCCAGCGCAGTAGATAGAGCCACATCCGCCTGTCTTACGGCGGTCTGAACGGCAACTTGCATCGTGATGGCAATCTGACCCCCACCCGCTCCCTGGGCTAGTTGCGAGAGCACGAGAATGAGCGACGGCGTGTCCGCGTTGCGGTACCGGACCATCATCGCAACGCCCAGCAGGCGGACCAGGACGCCGGTGACTAGGATCGTCTTGAAGCGACGCGTCTTTGCCATGAGCCAGCCAACAAATATGCCGACCACTGTTGATGTGACGTTTTGCGTTGTACTGTAAAGCCCAAAGGATTGAGATTTTCTCAGTCAAGGCACAATCGAAAGCACTACATGCACGCCACTCACGCAAAGTAGCCTGTCTTTGCTTGGTCCCAGCCCTTGGCAACTTGTACGAACGCCGAGACAAACGTCCAGCTGAGGTAGAAGCTCGCAAAATCCACAACAGCGATCATGCAGATGCTGACCACTGTCGTGTTGCGCAATATTCTGTACGGTATCATGGGTACTTGGGCGCGCGTCTGTTGATATGCAAAGGCAAGAAGAAGTCCAAGGCCGGCCAAAGCGCACGCCGGTGCCTCTGTCAGAATGTCGGGTGGCATCGGGTGAAACGGTCTGTCAGCTCATTGTAATGCTGGCTCTCCCATCCGCGGCTCCTGGACGGACTGACCTGATCTTCGAGTGCCTCTGCTAGCCAGAGTCAAGGGAACAAGGCAGAGCGCAAGACCGGCACTGAAAAGGAGCAGGCCGAGCGCATCGATATCCACAGCAAGGCGCTTGAGCGCCTTGAAGAAGCCATTGCGAAAGACGGGATCGCGAACAAGAATGCCAGCTTTCTTTGCTCTTCTTTGACCGACGATCAATGTGATCAGAAGAGGTGCTGCAGAGATAGGGAGGAAGATGAGCCAAAGAGCGTAGCCACCTCTCCAGCCCAGGTTGTTGTCCAGCACGGCGCGTACCAGCGGACCACCGATGGCGAAGTTGATGAGGTAAGGACTGAGTGAGATGTCAAGTCGCAGCGGATTCTCTTAGCCCACGCTTGCGACTGTGGCATGAGACTAGTGGTGCTCACGTGTTCACGATACCGATGGCGAGCTTTCGCGGAAAGAAGGGCGCGCAGACAGTAAGTGGGAGTAGGCTTTCATGGTGAGGTCTGCGGCATTGTACATACCCCTCTCCACTGAGCGGTGGTTGTGTCCGCGATGATGATGCTTTGCAGACTGTGCATCCCATATGCAAAGGACGTTCGGGTTTTAAGCACGCAAAGCGTATCCTTTTCATGACGCGTGGCGGCTTACTCACACCTGCACGCCGGTATTACCGCACGCCTGGAGAACGATGCCGGCGAGGAGCTTTTGGAGGCAGTGAGCTGTTGAAATCAGTCCGATACCCAGCATATATAGAAGCAGCGATAGCATATAAGCTTCCGCTCTGCCCCAAACATCGCTGAGCTTCGCGATTGGCCTGTGGAGAGCGCGGTATGAGCTTTCAAGTCCGTGCAGCCACATTCACGATTTGCGAGAAAGCTCATCAAGCCATAATTGCATCTACACTCACGGCTTTGCAATGGCGTAGCACAGCTGCTGCGCGATGGCGATGGTGGAAAAGGAGGCCAAGGCATCGAATTCGGAGCAGGCCAAGTTGAGATAGAGGAAGCCGGTGTTGGCGTCCAAAGAGGTGACGTAGCTGACGCTGAAGATGGACAGGTACACTGCAATGTATGATCTGAGCATCGCAAGCAGAAGAGATCACGTCAGCCCAGTCATGACTCATGCTCGGTCGAGAGCCTTGCCCCTCACTCACCTCCTCCGTCTTCTGCGCGCCACCTCCAAGAGGCCGGCTTCTTCTAGCGCCACAGCGCGCTCAGTTTCGATTTCTCGTTCGGAAGGAGCAAAGCTGACTCTGTAGCTTCTGTCGTGCCTTCGTGGCTGCCGCTCGGAACCGCGCATTCTATTCGAGTCTGCTTCCCTCAGCGCATCTTCCTCGTGAGCCGAATCGAGCGACCATCGCGCGGTGGCCTGTTCTTCTTCTTCCTCCACCGTCATCTCTTCATCGCCCTTCGCTACAAACAAGCGACGTGCGAATGCACCCGCCTTTGCAAACTGTTTCGCGCGCGCGCACAGCGGACTCGACTGAATCGCACAAAGGCTAGAAGAGCCCGAGCCAAGAGTACGATACGCTTGGCCGAATGCCCAGCGAAGCGAAATGTTCTCGTCGAGGGCCGTGCGGGTTGGATGTGATGCGCGAGATGCACAATTAAGATGAGCTTCATCTGCTTCATCTGCGGGGTTGAGCGCGACAAGCGTGTGCACGCCTGGCTCGCCTCTCGATAAGCATGCATGCAGCAGCAGCAGCAGCAGCAGCA